CCGGCCCGCTGGGACCCAAGGGACAGACGGTAAGACACCCCCCCACACACAACGAGAGCCCCCCGAGATGGGGACCGCGGCCCTGGCCCCACCCACTGCCACCTGGCCACACCCACTCGGGGACATGCCCCGCCCATTCTGCCACCGGCCACCCCCACATTGTCCCCGTGGGTCCCCTCCCCCGGCACCCTTGGGTCACCCCGGTGTCACCCGCACCTGGTCCCCCCCAGGGGCCACTGGGGATGGGGGTGGGGTGGGATGGGGACAATGATGGGATGGGGATGGGGAGGGGATGGGGACAGGGATGAGTTGGAGATGGGGACAGTGATGGGATGGGGACAGTGATGGGATGGAGACAGGAATGGAATGGGGACAGGATGGGGAAAGGGTTGGGAGGGGATGAGGACAAGGAATGGGATGGGGAGGGGATGGGGGCAGGAATGAGATGGGGACAGGGACAGGACGGGGAAAGGGATGGGATGGGGACAAGAACAGGGATGGGATGGGGACAGGGATGGGGACAGGGTTGGGGACAGGGACAGGTAAGAGGACTGGAATGGAGATGGGGATGAGGAAAGGGATGGGGACAAGGCTGGTGTTGGGGACAGGGATGGGGACAAGGACAGGGCTGAGGCTGGGGTCAGGAATGGGGACGAGGATGGGGACAGGATGGGGATGGTGACAGGGATGGGGATGAGGATGTTGACAGGGATGGAGATGGTCACACGGATGGGGACGAGGGTGGAGATGGTGACAGGGATGGGGACAGGGATGGAGATGGCGGTGAAGGTGAGGACAAGGCTGGGCTGGGGCCAGGGATGGGGACAAGGATGGGGACGAGGATGGAGATGGTCACAGGGATGGGGACAGGGATGGGGACAAGGAAGAAGATGCAGCCGTGACCCCCGGAGAAGGGCCATGGGGACATCACGGCCCTGTCCCCCACCGTCCCCTCTGTCCCCAGGGAGAACCCGGCATCGCGGGCTTCAAGGGCGAGCAGGGACCCAAGGGCGAGACGGTGAGTCCTGGTGACAGGGGGGTTGGGGGGACACACAGAGGGGACACCCCCCCCATCACCCCCCACGTTGCCGGGGTCAGGATGTGGGGGTGGGAGAAGATCCATCCCCCCCCAGCCCCTCGCTCATGGCCGCAGCGTCTGGTCGGCGTCTAACAAACCTCTTCCCCTAACGAGGCCCCTCGAGGGGCAGCGTCCCCCCCTCCCATGGGGTGGGGGGGGGAACAATAGGCGCTGTGTTCATGTCCCCCCGTCCTCCCCCCCCGCCGGGGACATTCCCCCCTTCGCTTCATTAACCAGCCTCAATAGCCGCCGAGCCCCGGCGCCAGCGGGACACGTGGCCACGGCCAGGGGCTCCTGTGTCCCCCCCACCCCCCAACTCCCCGGGGTCAGTGATTTATTGGTGACCCCCACTTCGATGTGCCCTGGGGGGGGAGGAAGGCTCCCCAGTGACCCCTTTTTCCTCCTCTTCCTCAGGGACCCGCAGGACCCCAAGGTGCCCCCGGACCGGCTGGTGAGGAAGGCAAGAGAGGAGCCCGCGGTGAGCCCGGTGCTGCCGGCCCCGTGGGACCACCTGGAGAGAGGGTGCGTGGCCCCCCCCCACTCCATACCCCCCCCAGCATCTCGTTGCCCCCCCCAAAACCTTCCTCCCCCCACCCAACATCACTTCTCCTCCTCTTCCTCCATAGGGTGCTCCTGGCAATCGTGG